AAACAATAAAATATCGTAATACGAGTAGTACTTTATTAGATCTTAATAATTAATTACAGATATTATCATCTCAAGTATTCATACCTATTGTTTTGAACGACAAAATTTCGTTCAATAAATAGTATATATCCCTTAGCTGATAACGTAAATTTAAGCCACAACTTGAGGTATGCTTATTAATAAGATCATAACCTAAAGATTGTTCCTAAGTGCGTTCACTTGAGCTTGAGGTACGTCAATTAATACCGGCCTAAATATCAGGGCGTAGTTTAGTTTCAAGGCCATATTTAAATTATCTAGAATGACTTGAAACTCTTCGTAGCTACAACTTCCGCATAATTTTCCACATATGTATCCACCACCTAATATCATCCTGTGGGTCTCGTAAGAGGCGACAGGAAAAAATTGGGAGATGGGCTGCAGCATCGTCCTAAAAACAAATAAAACTGCGGTTGCCAACCCGCCGGCCAAGTGGCAACTTTCGCCCCTATGAAGTAATTTATGGGAGACGTCTATATTATGCAGTGGACTTTGGATATGCTGTAACAGTAATGGTATATTACAGAGTACAGTGCTGCAAGTGTATAAACGAAGTGATACTCTTACTAAAATCCTAAAACCCATTCCATAATAGTCGGCTCGACAGAAATGTTTGATTCTATATAAATTAAAATAAATTGATTCTATTTAAATTAAATTAAATAATAACGCATTCTGTTTTGATAGATATCGAAAAACAAATGATAATGCGACTCAACGTTCGAGACGTATTTGGAAGACGCATCTTATCGCGGTCGTGTCGGGTCGAAAATTGATAAATCTTCTCCGCTAGGGACACTGTTGCTGGTTATGCAATTATACCATTTTGTTTGTAAAATGTTATAAATATTTTGTGACCTAAATAAAATAAAATAAAAATTAAACCTATGGTTTGAAAGGCGTCTGGAATAAATTCTGTATGCCGTGCCTTTGTGGTATCGTAAATAAAAATATTAATTACTTTGCAACCTTCCGGTAACTAAATACAATGATGTGTCTTACCTGGATTGAAGAGCACCTCCCGCCCTTCCTCAATTGCATGCACTAACTCCGTCACCACTAGTCCCAGCACCACTACTCCCAACACAACGTACGTATATTATCGTCGATGGTGTGTCTTACGGCGCCTTTACATGTTGGCCAACACAGTGACGAATGTAGTGGCCAATAGCATTGGCCAACGTGTAGACGGGGTGTTTAGGCTTCATTGGTAAGTAGTGGAACGATGGCCCGCAAGTTGGCGCGAGATCCGTGTGGTGTCGGTTTTTTACAAAAGATCAAAGGATTGTTGGCAGAGTTTGGTCGCCGCGTCCACACGTTGGCCACGAGTTTAGTTTGCTACAAGCTCCCAGAGTGATTACACGCATCTGATTAAAATTTTATATTCACACTTTGTAGGGTGGATGACCCAATTACCAACCTTTTAGTGCCAATTTCAACTTTAAACATTCCTACTACTTTAATTAGCGCGATTTAATTATTTTAAACATTTGTCTTAATCGATAAGCTATTTATAAAAAAAAAAATAATGAACATTTATTTACAATCACATTATTACGAGAACAATTTAAAAATGAAAAAAAAATGAAGCACGTAGTTTATACGTGGTAGAACCATGCAGTTATATTAGAAGTATAGTTGTAGCACGAATGGGTCGGTTCGACCGGGGAAGGTCCTTCCCCTCTCCCCGCTCTCACAGAATAACAATGTAAAATAGTAGCGTAATGATGCTGTGTTTCGTATAGTGAGTGTAGAGAACCAGAGACACTTTTTAAAGGAAACGAGGCATTTAATCTTAGTCCTCACGGGTGACAACGCATCTGCATTTTGATTCGTAATCGAGGATAGATGTAGATGTCTGTGGGCCACAGCAACCACTTACCATCAGGTGAACTGTGTGCTCGTTTGTCACCCTATCCTATATAAAAAAGCGTGGGTTTCTTATAATTTAATCGTGCAAGTTTTCGAATCATCATCATCATTACAGCTCGTCACAAGTCCACTACTGAACATCCTCCTCCAAAGAATGCCGCAAAGCATGGTCCTGAGCCACTTTCCTTGTCATGAGTTTTTCATTTATGTTCTAAGTTATAATTAGTACCTATTATTAAGTCAGTGTTAATTATATTTATTGCTATTGTTTTTGTCTTTCTCAAGAAATAATTAAATTACCAAATAAATTATAAGGTGTTTTTTATATACAACAAATGTGTGATAGAAAAGCAAGTACATGTTTTGCTAAACTTTAAAAACAAAACCCAATTTTAAAACATAGACTAATCGATTATAACTCCTTTAACTTTAAAATAAGTTAAGTTCTAATTAATGGTATTTATTCCAGTTTCTGATGCATGTAAAGAATAAATAAAGCTAATCGTATATCGTATATCTATTTTTTATATATAATATATTTTTTATAAAAACGTTACCCCTATCACTTGGATTTTCTCCTGTATCGCGGAGGCAACTTACAAACATAAATTGCACAAGAACACACATCCAGACCCGAAACAATTATTTGTAGGATATACAAATACTTGTTCCATGCGGGATTCAAACCCGCGACCCTTGGCACAGCCACACATTGCCAAGCCACTGCGCCACGGAGCCGTCGTCTAAAATAAAATAAATTCGTCCGCACATTGGCCCGAACCGAAGTAAACTGAACGACCTTCCAACGTGTGGACGCCGTCACCAACTCTCGGCCAATATATTCGCCACTACATTCGCCACTGTGTTGGCCAACGTGTAGAGGCGACAGTACGTGGAATAGTGATGTTGGAAGTAGTAGTGCCGGGAGTAGTGGTGACGGAGTTAGTGCATGCAATTGAGGGAGGGCGGGAGGTGCTCTTCAATCCAGGTAAGACACATCATTGTATTTAGTTAGCGGAAGGTTGCAAAGTAATTAATATTTTTATTATAATGGATTTCCGGAAAGTAACGCCTAATTCTATCAATTTGTGGTATCGCCTAACTGAGATGGCCGTGGTGTTTTTTGTTCAGTATTCAGGCTATACCGACACGGTGGGCGATTAATCAGGAAATACTAATTATTGGATATAGTAGTGGGTTACTGCCCTATAGATATATGTTTATTGTTACAGACCTCTCAAAAAACAGTATACATTTTTGAACTATAATGTAATATATGTCACTTCCGTGATTGACTTCTATGGGCAAAATTCCTTACTACAAGATTGCCATAAATTAAAAGAAGAAGACGAAGAATCAGGAAACCACCTAATCTGTATCTGAATAATGCTTATGCAATTAGGTCCACATTACGTCTATTATAATTTAATAATGTTGAAAAATTTTCAATTTCATAATTTTCTAATTCCTCCGCTGATTAGGTTAAGTAGTAGGCAATTTTATTTACATTGTGTATACATAAAGGTAGAAGTTAAGTAAAAATAAACTAAAGACGTAGATACTGCTGAGTACAGACCTTTCAAACCTGAGAGCTGAGAGGGTTTTGTTTCTGCAAAGACTGCTACCATAACGCATATAATGTTAACTAAATTGAACTGGATTTCATATGTTCTCGAATTTCTGTAAATTTCTCAAACATAATATTTTTCTTCGCTGCTGGGTCCCCGCAGCACTTAAAATTGCTATTAACAATATAGATGCTGCCGGCGAGGATCAAACTCGGTTAACTCGTATGCTATAAATTTACACGTAACCTACAGCTTACTGCAGTTCTAAATATTGAGGTCCATGGTGTTGTTTTAAAAATATTCGCTTACATTATTTACTTTAAACTATTCGTTAATGTCTAAAATTATACAAAACTATTGACTATTAGTATATATTAACTATTATGCTATTGTGTATATATTAATTATTTTGTAACGTGTTTAAATTAACTTTCCTCTCTTTTAATATATTTGGAAAAATAGTTTGAAATCACATGATGTTGTAAAGTAGAATGTTATAAGCGAAGTGTAAGGCGGCCCCCACTAAGAATGGCTTAGTGGCGTTCCTTGGGAGAGGTCTATGTTCAGTATTAGATGATTTGTGATCTCCTGTAATGATGATAACTTTTGGTTTCAAATTTAACATTGAATGAAGAGTTCTTCACTTCACCTCACCCTTTTACATTTCCTGTAATGTGAAAAAATATTTCATTATTCATTACAGCCCACCAAAAGTTTACTAATGAACATTGGCCTTCCCCATAGCCTAACGGATATTTGCCATTGTTGACACGTTTGGCAAACGGGTTGGCAGATGCTGCTGCTCATCTCCTGTTTCAGTTTCCATTTGTTGTCTGCAATGATATTCAAGTATCATATCCTTTTTTCCAAGCACATACCTAAGTATCTATTTACAAAAAAAGAACGCAAATTCTACTGTCTTACATACGGAACATTCGTATTTAAAAAATAATTGCTCTAATTAATAAAACCGTTGGTAGATTCGGCACAAGAAAAACCCAGTACGCCAATTTGTCAAACAAATGTTTGGGTACACAAGCATTAATGAAAGGGAAACGAAATCTTCTTTGCAAGACAAAGGAGCTGGCATCAATATTTATTGGCGCGCTTAGTATTAATCGGGTAGGATCGTGCACTGTATCGAAAGAGCGAACGTCGACGTTGTCGAATAGATGGACTGTCGCGGTCGGAGCGCACCTAATTTTTCCTCAACGAATAATTTTCCAGGTTTCGTAGCGTTCGTAGCCGCGCCCGCTTTCCGATCCTTGCTCTACTGTGTTCTTGTACTGGCGACTGTCAGTGTCGTCTCGTCTCGACTCTCGATGTTTTCAGTAGTTCAGTACGCCCCCAGACGCCGGCGAGGTCGGTTGGATCGGTGCGTGGCCGATAAAACAGCGCGCGTACGAAATGTGTGACAATAAGTTTTGCTTCCTTCTATAATATCTAAATTTTGATGAGTTTATTAGACAGTATCTTATTAATGTTCTATAATATGTTAGCCTAAAAATATACTATTAATAGTAAATTTTATACAAAGCAGCTTCTTTTAAATACTTCACGTGAACATAGACCCTACACAACTTGTAAGCTGGGTAAGTCGATTTTAATAGACAAGTAATGCATAATAAAAACATGAAAATATTTTCTAAAGTTGTTCCACCAAGTGAATTGCATGCTCAATTGCATCCCCTTTCATTAAAAAAAAATACGGCCTACTGATATTGAAGGTATCATTTATTACCATTTTATTCTTACTATCTATGTACTACATTAATTTTTCACTGATCAGAAGGAAAACAAGGAGAATGAAAGAAATGAAAGAAGCAACCTAAATAATAGTTTTTAATATTAAAATTTAATTAATCAAAATATTTAATTAAATAATTTTAATAAAAAATAAGATTATAATATATATTTTCTTTTGTTTACAATTACAGTAAACACGTAAAAGTAACAGTAAGTGTATAATTTTACCTGAAAACCTTTTATTTCTCTGCTTAATCGCGTCTTCAGTTCTTTTCATTCCATTAACTTTAATACCCACTTCTGAAAATCGAATCTTATTTAAAGAACTTAGGTAATTAATTAGTTCTGCGGTACTATTTCACGTATACGAATTTATTATTACTTGATGGAAAAGAAACAAACTGAAATTGAAATATTATTATAACACTTACCTCACTGCGCGCCGCATATGTAGCGTACGTATCGCGTATTTGGCTGAATGATTTTCCATATCGCTGCAATTGATAAATTGTCGTACATTAACACCGTTTTTCACCATTTTTTACGACATGAAATATTTATGATATGTTTATATATATATATATATATATATATATATATATATATATATATATATATATATATATATATATATATATATTCTACCAGTTCTATTAAAAACTAGAGACGTAACGAGGTAATCTATCTTAGCTTTTAGGGGTGACAACGCACCTGCATTTTGATTCTAAATCTAGGATAGATGTAGGTGCCTATTCATTATTTGTTACAGCCTTTAAGAGTTCAGGCTATCCCTACAGATTGCATCATAGAGACGCCACCCTTGGTAGGCGAGTTGGCAATCCCAGATTTTTTTTTTAATTTGAATTATTGTCTGAAGGATGCTATTTACCTCCTGTTTTATTTTCCTTTGTCACCTCTTGCGACACAGGAGCTGGTGCCACGTTCACGCTGGTAGCACCCACTTACGGTATACATTAACAGGTGTATAGATTTTGCCATTCATAAGAGCTTCAAACAAGCCTAACCTAGATAAAATTGAAGTTATATAAATTTGGGTTAAGTAGCTAATATAAATTTTCATTTACATATACTCATGCCTAATTTTTCCATAAGCAATATTTATAGTTTGTTAGTGTACAACAAACATGTATCATGGCGTAGTCAATTACTGTACTGAATTTAGTCTTAGATTTTGAACCAATTGGAAACAAGCATGTTATACACAGGAAACGTTGTCCCCTTTTGTTGCCCCCATGGAATTAAACACACGAAAGCGGGAAATACTTTATTAGTCACTCAACTGAAACCAAGTGAAAAAGTTTGTAGAATATGTATGAAATATTTTTTAGAAGTAACAAACGAGCTCATAGTCTACCTGACGAGACCCCTTATTCAGGTGATAGTCCGTTTTTTATTAAATAAATACATATTTTCCTTACTTGTATGATGTTCTGAAAAATAAGCTAACACGGAAGTGTTGGAATTTTAGTCTGCTTGAAAAGGTCTCCTCTCGCTCCAATTTATACTGGATTATTCAGCAATAACCGGCTAAATTTGCAGAGAAAGTTCAGAATAAGTAAATCTCAGACATTCTGTCCTTTTTATCTTTTAAATTAAAAATGCGTGGTATAGCATTATTTTAACTGATTAAATTGCACACGCACACATTTTAAGGGTCGAGCGGTAGGCAAAAATGTTGGTGCTCATAAATCACATTCAATTTGGGATAATTTCAAATAAAAGTAGAAGCCTTACATACTCGTATTTTCAAAAACTACAATAACCGTACATCGTTATTTATATATTTGAACTTAAATATAAAATTTGGTTGCTCTTTGAAAAATAACTATGTACATTGCTATGATTTTTTGCTTTAGCAAATGAATATTGTTTGCAATTGAGCTGCCTGTCTACACAGTTGTACACCGTAAGATATGACTAAGTAGACTAATTTCGCTGATCCTTCATTAGTCAACTTTCAAATTCTTCTTATTTAGAAGATTGTGGAACTTGCGTTCGAAGTTAGTTTGTTAATATGTGCTCCCACTGGAGCTTAGAATCAAAAGAAATTCTAAGATTTACGGTCGAACTTTGAAATCTAAATTATATCTTGTAAATTAATTACAGCGTTCTGTTGCGATTGAGATAGTGTAAACTGCACAAAATTAGTGTTTTTTCTGCATTTAAAAGCAAATTGTTTGCTGTAAACTTTTTGGAAACAATATCCATTATTTGCTTGGGTCGTTTCTTTTTGATTTAAATAATAATGAAGCCCCATCAGCAAAAATAGCTATAAAAGTTAAAAAGTTAAAGTTACAGCCTATATACGTCCCACCCTTGGCCACAGGCCTCCGCTCATTTCTGAGAGGGTTCTAGGGCAAGGTTTTCTTCCCTTTCAAGCGTGTTGGCAGGTTCACATTTCTTCGAAGTATTTTATTCTTATTCCTCATACATGCATGTCGATGTTTTTCTTCACCGCCGTGTACGTGGCAAATTAGCACTTAAAATTGCAATTAACAATTTCATTGGTGCCGGCGGGGATTGAACCCGGTTTGCTCACGTACTGTGAAATTTACAGCGAGCACTAACCATATGAGCTACCATGGCTCTAAAATTTAGTATTATTACATAATATTGAATTATTTCATTACTTGTAAGTGATGTTTTGTCATATAACTCGTATAGCGTGTAACCCTACTCGTTCTAATACCTTTGTCGCCTACTCACAAAAGCATCATTTTGTTTAAGTTTTAGTGTTGGCTGTTCCTTTTTCGTGTTAAGCCGTCTAAACTTGAGTATAATTACAACCTATCAGCTACAATCTAGAAGCGAATAAAAATGAAATTGAAATAGCAGTAAGAAATGCTATGGGATAGAGATCGGCATAAAATGCACTAGTGGCATGTCAGTAATGAAATCGCCGACTCAAAGGAGGGTGAAACCGCGATCCATGTATTTCAGGTAGCGCATGTATTTTACCAGTTCTATACCTCAGATAAGTTTCCCCAGGGAAGTATTTTGAGCTTAAACGATGCACTAGTTAAATATTTTGTGATTCATTATTGTACAGTGTGTGTTTTTTTTTGGTAAAAGCAAAAAATGACTTGTAATAAACTATGTTGAATAAAAAAATATGCTTTTCTTTTTGCTGTCCACACATGACACATGTTTAAATACTGAAAAGTTTTGTGTTCAAAATAATTTTTATATATATTGTAACTTCATAGTATCATATATTGCGCTATTATTTTGCCTATGATATACTCGGCTTCCCGAGAAAATTCTGGCGTGATTTTTTTTCTTTATAAACGATGTAGAGTTTTTAAAATAATTATATTAAAATAAAAATTTAATAAATTTTAAAGCAGCTATTATTAAAGCCAAGCCAACGCACATCCGTAGGTAAATACTTTTATTACGTACTACGTTAAAATATTGCGACTATATTTCACGTCGCTTAACAAATACCGAGCCACGGTTGCCAAGTACAGTTAAGCGCGACTAAAACTATGGGTTTCCCGACTCTGCGATCGTGGTCATAAAGTACAAAAAGTGCGCCGCGCGAGAGTTTCTGCTGCATTTGCACTCAGTGTTGGTGGCGGGGCGCTATTCAAGAAAGGTTTATTATTAAAAAAAAACCTAGCTAGGGCGTAGTCGGGCGCCTTGTTCCCACCGTTTAAGATGAGAAATGGGCAGTAGCTACGCTGCGACAGCGTCACTGAGATTGCGGGCTGCATTATACTTATGCACTGAAATACTGAATATTCATTGTTGCCACGCGTAATATAAGCTGGGAGCTCTTTAATCAATTCTCCCTTGGCTCGAGCGCTATATTGCCCGGTAATGGTCGTTACGACTGTTCTCTATTGCTGTTTAGTATTTTTGTAAACTGATGATCTCTAAAATACGGTTGTGACTTTTTAACTAAAATGATTCTACTTACCTACATATATACTGATAATACGATTACTTATCATTGCATACTTTTAATAATAGTACGTGAAACACAAGTTTATCTATCAGACGCATTAAACGTTTATACGAAAGATTCTCAGAATTATTTACACTTTTTATCATCTTATTGAGTTATTAGCTTTATTTAGTCTTATTTCAATTGTAATGAGATTGATTTTAACCAAAATTTTTCCATCCTGTTTTTTTAACGCTTTTTTTATTAAGCTATTGCATAGCTTCTATCGCGGGCCTTGAGCGCGGGGACCGAATCCAGAAATTCCGTAACGAAAAAAACCTCACGCTCCCCACTCCGACGGGCACGGAGGTGTGGCGTTAAAGCCGTGCATCGTCTTAACGTCGTTTCAGTTCGGCAGACTTCGGCACTCGGCAGATTTCGGCACGGTGTTTGTGTGCGTGCGACTAGACGTATGCGTGTACACTAGCTGCTAACTCAATGATAAAAATTCCTGAATAACCTACATTTATTGTAAGATATTAAAAATATTTTAAACAATACTAACTTCTCATTTATTCAATAAGAGAAAAAAAAATGTTTTCTTATCGGTCACCACGCTCAAAAAGTGTAACTTGATTTAATATCAAAGACTTAACTGCATAAATAAAATAAATAAATAATTATAATTGCACAAGTTGATAAAAAATGCTATGCAATAGCTTTACGGCGGCAGTCACCGAGTGCCACACGTATTTTTTTTAAAGAATCAAACAGACTCCAAATAGACGTATAGTTTCTGTATATAAAATCAATGGAAGGAATATGCGCATGCAATAATGTGTGGCTATAAATCTGGTATAAAAAACTTGTCTACTACTGTATTTTTGTATACCTCTAACCTCTTCAAGGTTTGTGAAAGTGTGAAGGAGAGATCAC